CCATAATTCTGATTTACTGATAAAGATCTGTATTCCAAGATAAAAGGAGAAGCAAAGATATTATTTTGCTGACAAAGCTGTGTATTTCCCTGAAGCACTACCTATTGTTATACACACACACACACACAAAATATTTGGATGGGGGCATAATCTGTTTTGCTTGATTCCTTCTGCTACCTTGAGTTGTTTTAACAAATTAGAAATAATTTATTTAGTATGTTATCTGTTTCACTGCTCCTTTAAAAACAAAAAAAATATATAAACCAGGTTATTTTCTAGATTAAGGATTCTGGCCTATTAAAGAGCAACAATTGAGCTGGAACCACATACATCACCTAATTTTTTTAACAGCTACTTTCACCAATGGGATAAGCCAAAAAGATTTCATACATCATGAACCTCAGCACACAGCCTGTTCTTAAATCACATTTTTTTCCCAAGCACATCTGGGCTCACAATTGTATTTATTCATGGCTGGAAACCTTTTACAGTCTTTTTGCTGAAAATGGGGGTGGGGAATGAACTTGTGATCTTTGGGTTTTATGACTAGAAAGAGAAAAATGGAAGGGAATTATGATATAATCTTAAAGAGGGTAAACAAATAAATGTATCTGTAACGGGCATAAAAAACGTTGGAAGCAAAACCTTTATATATTTCTCTTTTTTTTCTTCTTTCCTCTACTTTTTTCTCACTTAGATACTTATTTTTCCTTCCTCCCTCCCTCCCTTCTATTCATATTGCAACTTTGTTTTTACTATTACATAGAATCTCTTCCAAAAAATTATTTAAAAAAAACAAACAAAACCAATCCAAACACATCCGTTTGGTCAGTAAAACCCAACCCCTGAGTTTCAACAGGGCGATTATAAAAGAGTCCATTTTCTAATTTTGTTTTTAAGAAAATTATTGCATCATCAGATCGGTTGCAGCCAAATAACCCAAAAAGATATTAACAAAGGACAAAGTTGCTTATATAATTCCTTATAACTCATCATCACAGCCATAGCCTTTGCTTCTCTTCTGTTGAAATATTACCCATTCAGAATGTTCTTCCCCACTGACATGGAGTAAGCGTAAATCTAATATCAAGCCACGCTAAACAGGAGATAGCTAGGCACAGCGGCAAGGATGGCTTTTGCTCAGAAATGGAAAAATAAATTGACACCAAACGAAGACGAAATAATAAGAAAGGTCCTGAACTGTGGCAAGATGGACAAGTTAACAAAAGAAATTCAGGGAAAAGAAGAGACTGAACATTATTGCCCATGGGAAAAATGGTATAGGTGGTTGGAGGAAAGAAACAAAGATTAATGAAAAAAATTAACAAAGATAAAAACTATAAGTTAAGGATGATTGTCATATATATATAGATATACCTACTCAAGAGGAATAAAGTTTATTAGAGATAAACAGCCAATATATCAGATATATAATCAAAAGATAATGAAATAAGAGGTTAAAAACTGTGAAAATTAAGTGAAACATATTAGGAGGGGAAACATTATAAAGAGGATTGTACCGATTTGAAACTGCCATAAGTAGGAACACGAAGTTCCAATGTGTTGTGCGGAGATGTAATCTATGTCTACGTTTTTTGTATTTGTATGTTTGAAAATTAAAAATTAAAAAAGAGAAAAGAGAAAAGCACAGCTAGGCACAAAGAGGAACAGGAGTCCAGAGTGCCAAACCTTGAACTTTATCTAGTTCCTTGCCAACATTTTTATGTCTTGCTCTTTTGACCTATTGCTTATAGATCCCCTAAGGACAGTGCTGAATCTTTGAAGCTGTATCAGAATCCACGCTCAAGATCCTGATAAAGTAGTCAGCAATTATTGATAATAAAATATAAACTAGATTTGGTTTCCTTTTCTCAATTGGCGCTTTCAGGTTCTATTTTCTTAAAGGTTGAAGATTGCCTGGTTAATTGTGCAAGCATAAAACACAGGTTGTCCTTGACTCACGGCCACAGTTGTGCCCCAAATTACCATTGCAAGGCAGTTGTTAAATTTTGCCCCCTTATTACTAACTTTCTTGCCACAATTGTTAAGCAAACCACTGCAGTTATTAAGTGAAACATGCAGTCATTAAATGGATTCCCCCATTGACTTTGCTGGTTCAGAGGCTGGCTGTGAGGGTTACATATGGTGATCACATTTTTATTTATTCTGTGTTTCACATGACTCCAGGACAATACAACGAACATTAATACAGGGCGGGGCATAACCTTTTCCTAGGGGGTCACAGCAACACTTGTAATAACAACACAAATAATTCATACACCATTCGAAAGCCCATCAAAAACTGAGTTTATTGACACGATTTAATAGTCAGTATGACCACCATTAGCCCTTCGAACAGCATTCAAACGAGGTGGATTGATAAACGTCGCTCCAGCATCGCGAGCCTCTCGAAAGGCAATGCATTTTATTCTGTCAATGATCCTTTGTTCTTCCGAATCGAATTTTCCAGCCATTCTTAAAGCAAATTTAACATTTAATAGCTCATTCAATTCAGTTTTTTATGGGCTTTAAAATGAGGTGTCGCGGAAGTTGTAAACTGCTGTCGATCTTGCTGTGACCCCCTAGGAAAAGGTTATGCCCCACCCTGTACATGCCAGTTACCAATCACCCAATTTTTTGATCACATGACTATGGGGATGCCACAGCAGTTGTGTGAATAAAGTCAGAATTCACTTTTTTTCAGTAGCACTGTAACTTGGAAAGGTCACTAAAAACGGTTTGCAAGTCAAGTACTACTTCTAAATAACTTTTTTTTTAAAGAAAAACCTATTAAATGTGCCTTAGAATTTAATTGGGATGTAACAATTTGTGTTTCTCACTTTTGTCTCCACTTATCTTTCTCTTAATTCTCTTTCATGAGAACCTTACTATATTTGCTTTCTAGAGTTTGGAACAATTGGCATCTTAATTGAAATCAAATTAAACCAATTAAAAAAAAATGGTCTGAGAAACCACTAGTGACAAGGACCTGTCCAATTTTGGGGGAAATTTAACTTCACAGAGTACTTTTTGTCCAAACCACATAAGCAAACTCTGGATATAATCTTGGATTTTCCATTCTTAAACAGTGAGGGGGGAAATAATAATTTCAGTCTTTACAGGCAGAAGGATATAGAAACCAAAACAGGTATGATGAGTAATCTGGGAACTGAAAGTCATAAAAAGACATCCTCGGTCTCCTTCTGTATTAAAAATGACTCAACTTTTCTTTTGCCTCAAATTAGTTCAGAGAAAAATTTTCAGATTTCAATATGATGCATTCAAACGGTTGCTCACTTTTCCACTCATCCTTTGCCTCTTTCTTTGCATGTTCTAACTGCACATACTAGCAGCAAAGGCAAAAAGTCATTTCAGATATGAACGCAAATGCCTTCCTGAAAGCCTAATGGACAGAAATGTACATGGACACCCTGAAGCAGATTGACAACCGCACTAATTTACTTCGCAGGTTGCAAAGAACAGATTGAACCAGAAAAATCTCTGCAATCCAGTCGGCTCCTTTGAGATCCTTTAGGACTTCCAACTCCTAGCTAGTCCTGGCATACAGTGGGGAAAGTCGTAGGTGAGGGGAAACCAATTCTGTCTTTCATATATGGGAAACTTAAGGTATGTGCAACCTCAGCCTACCTTGGAGGGCTGTTATGAATAAAGAAGCAGGTGGGATAAAAATATTGAAATTAAATTTGGTACATGGAGGGTAGGATCTTTCGTTCAAAAGAAGGTACCAAGCTGTTTCCCTGATACTTCAGGAATGTAATTGATCAATAATGGCAATGTACTAGCCATGATTTCCACCTCTCGTGCCCAGTTCTTAAACCCCTAAACTGGACCCTTTCTCAATTTTCTCTCTCTACCCAAATTCCCACTTGAGATCTCTTTTCCCACAGCTGAGGCTGGGGCTTAGCAGCAAAGAAGTAAGGAGCCACAACCACAACCACAACAGTGGGTGCCTGAAAAGAGGAGCTGGCGAACACCACTCCCAGAGATAGGCAGATTAAAATAATCCACTATTAAATTTGGGACCTACATTTCAATTCTGGAGCTCCTGGTTCATGCACTGCTTGGATAGAAAAGCAGCAGCTGCTATTACTACTACTACCTACCACTACTACTACTTACCACTACTACCACCACCACTACTACTACCACTACCTACTACTACTACTACTACTACTACTAAGATGATGGTGGCGATGATGAAAATATCACAGAGGATAGCAGACCACAGCTAATGGGGAGGGGGATAGGAGACCACCAGGAAAGATCACAGTTGTAGTCTTACACCAATGTTTCTCAAGCTTGCCCACTTTATGATGTGCGGACTTCAATTCCCAGAATTCTCCAGCAGCTGGCTAGGGAATTCTGGGAGTCGAAGTCCACACTATCTTAAAGTTGCTTAAAGTTGGCGTGAGAAATGTGGCCGAGACTGAATTCAAAAAACCGGAACGGGGAACCAAGGCGATTAACACAAATCTGTCCTTATAAAGACTTGAGGTCAGCTAAAGGGCGAGATTCCATACAGCAGCCACCGCAAGGGTAAATATAATAACAGTTACAATCTACCCAACCGCTCGGACTCTTTTGAAAGATTATCCCCAGATTATTCACATTGCACATTTGTAAATCTTACAACATCAAAAGCACGAGATAAAAATTTAGGGTTCCCTAATCGAATTCCTTCCCTTAAAAAAAAAAAGATGCTGAAAAACGTACAGATGTTTCCACCCACCCCAAAAAACCGGGACTCCTAAAAAAAAATCCCTTTCAACCCCCCAAGGGCATCAAGATGTGTCGGATGACTACTCCGATCTGCGGCCGGGGATAATGGGAGTTGTAATCCAGACACACACCCCAAAACACACACACTCAAACCAGAAGCTGCATCATCGATGCAGATGGACCCTAATTGTTCCACCCGGCTCCCGCAATTCACCTCCCTGGAGCAACCCGGGTAATTGGTGAAGGTTTCCGACGCTGACCTTTCTTCCCGGTGGTTGGCCATTGATGCGAGTCGGTGACTTTTCTTTTTTTTTTTTTTTTCCCGCGGCTTCCGAAGGTTCCTCCAGGGAATCGCGTCGCTCTGCGGGAGAACGGAGGCTCAGCCGGCCTTCTAAACAGAAAGAACGTGTCGTCACAATCACGCCGGCCAATCGGGGGGTTCCTTGTGCCGGCAACAAAGGTTGCCCCGGCGACCCCGGCGTTCTTGTGACACCAAAGGGAACGCTCCGCCCACTTCATTCATACTCCTCCGGAGGCGCTTTCTGCACCGCCCCCGCTCCCAGGCTAGAAGCGCGCGGAAGGAAGGCGTGAAGCTAAGATTCCCACGCGCGGCCGGTAAGATTGCGAGCGCACGTGGCCGACGGAGCTGCTTCCTCCCAAAACCCTCGGCCGCTTGCCGAAATCTACGCCGAGATATCAGAATTACAGGCACTCCAATAATTCCGCGAAATATTTTCAAGAGAAAGGGAAGTCCCTCACTTGGTTCACCGCTTCCCCCTCGCCTAACTTTTTTTATTTTATTTTTAAAGTCGATTTTATTTTTACAGTGTCTGGCTCTGCTTATGGGTGTGTGGGTGTGTGGATGAAAGTTTTGCATGCTTTCTGCGGAAAGGCCCGGGTTCTTTGTTTATGCTTCCTCACTTCTCCATTGGCTCTAATACTAGAATAAGATGAGATAAAACAAGAAAAGAGAACTTTTATTGTCACTTTTTTCTGCGAGCACACTGGCACACGTTAAAAAATAAAACTTTGATGCCCGCTCTCAAAGGAAGATAGACAGACAGATGCGCGCGCGCGCACACACACACACACACACACAAAGGGACACAGTGGCTCAGTGGCTAAGACGCGGAGCTTGTCGATCAGAAAGGTCGGAAGTTCAAAATCCCTAGCGTGAGCTCCCGTTATTTGTCCCAGCTTCTGCCAACCTACCATGCTACCTTCGAAAGCATGTAAAAATACAAGTAGAGAAAGAGGAACCACCTTTGGTGGGAAGGTAACAGTGTTCCTTGTGCCTTCGGTGTTTAGTCATGCTGGCCACATGACCACGGAGACATCTGGACAGCGATGGCTCTTTGGCTTTGAAACAGAGATAAGAACCACCCCCTAGAGTCAGGAATGGCTAGCACATAGGTGCGAGGGGAACCTTACCTTTATATACACACACACATACACACACACACACAAAATGAAATGAACAGGCATCAGAATCTCATTTTTATGTATATGTGTATAACATCTCATTTAAAGAAAATAAGAAACATCTCATTTAAAGAAAATAAGAAACACAGTAGACATTCATATGAATGTCTACCGTGTTTCTTATTTTCTTTTGATCCCAAAATATGGCCTTGGCATTATGGGGGGGGGGGATGTAGCTTATTGTTTTGGGGGTGCAGGAAGCAGTGAGTGTAGTCACCTCATGGCTGCTGTGTTGCGCTGCTGTTGCACCTGTTCCCCCCCCCCTAGGTCCCGCGGCTTGGCGCCTTCGGGATACCGCTAGGTCAGTGAATGGCACTCTGTCCGGCTGGAGAGGGGGATTGCCGGGCGGCTTCTCTTTTGCGAACGGGCTCCCGAAGAGCCTGGCATGGATATGGGGGGGGACACGGGCACAGCCTCAGAGGCGAATGGCTGTGTTGCGCTGTCACAGCTGCACAACACAGCAACCATGAGGTGACCATGCTTCCTGCACACACACACACACACACGATAATAAGGCCAAGGGCATATTTTGGGGATCAAAATATGGGTATTTCAGGGAAACACAGTAGACATATACATACATACATACATACATACATACATACATACATACATACATACATACATACATACATACTAAAAATGAGATTCTATCTGACTTCCCCATTGACTTTGCTCATTGGAAACCAGCTGGGAAGTTACAAATTGTGACCACATGACCCCTGGGACACTGCAGTTGTCATAAATACATACATCCTTAATGTCTATGGAGATTCTCAGTCATCCAGATCATGGCTGAAATTGCATAGGACCTGCTTGAGCACAGGGCTGGACTAGAAGACCTCCAGCTCTGTTCTGATTGATTCTCCTTTTTGATCTTCATCTTTCATTTTATCCCGTCCTGATCTCTTGATCCTTCTAGCAGACTTAGGAACCAACTTCAACCTTCTTCCTTTCACTCTCTCAGTTCCTTCCTGTATCTGGAGATTTTTTTTGTCCCAGATTCTGATTTTTTTTTTGTTCTGCAAACCCAACTTTTTATAGGGTCACCCCCCCTGTGCTCTACAAATGCCTGGAGAACCTTTATAAATCCTCGGTTTAGTCCTCATGTGACAACCGTTCAAAGTTATAACGGAGCTGAAAAAAAGTGACTTAGGAACGGTTCTTGTGCTCACCACCGTCCTTGCATCATGTTTTGAACATAAGGCAACCAACCTGCATTGTGCAATGTTTCAGGGGTGAGTTCCGGCAGAGACTACTTCCGGTTCACTCAGGGGCGCGACATGCACTGCAGTACAACTAAAATTGCTCTGCACATGCGCAGAAGCAAGAAACAAGATGGCGGCACCTACAGCAAGAACCAGTTCGGGGGCATGGCAGGCCTGGGTCACTGCCGGTTCCAGTGACCCAGGCCGCCAAGCTACCTCTGGTTTAGCCGAACCGGTAAGAATCAGTAGGAACCCCCCACCCCTCTTGCAATGGTTGCAGCCTCCCAAGGCCACGTGATCTCCATCCGCAACCTTCCAAGCTCTTGCTCTTGTTGAGCAAAGTCAATGGGGAAAGTCACATTTGCTCAACAGCCACAATGATTGCTTAATTGCTTAGGACAAAAAAGACTGTAAAATCAGAGGTGGTGACAGGATGAGTCATTTACCAACCACTTAGTGAATGGAACTCCCATTTGTGATTATAAGGTTAGCAGAGGTAGGTTGAACCGGTAGGGACAGCAAGCTTACCATGTCCTCAAATCAGTTCCCCGTTTGTGGCAGCACGGGGATTATTATTTTTTTTGACATTTTTAATGTTCTGCGCATGCGCCGATCAATTTACAGGCAACTGCATATGGACGGGAAGCAAATAACACACACACCGAACCGGCTGTAACCCTTTGCAGAAACCCACCACCGCTGTATCTGTATGTTGATTTTATTTTATTACATTTGCTCTCTTCGTCCAATAGTTCTTTTTTTAAAAAAAGCAGAGTTATACGTGCTGCTTTGCAAAGAGATTTTTTCCAGAGATTATGACCCACATTCTCGACATGGTGACTTAAAAAAAAGACAAAATGTTAAGAATGCACCTCAAATATCAGAGCTGATTCACACTGACCATATACAAGCAATTCTGGGCCTGACCTTTCCAACATTGTGTTTGAGTCAACCCATCCTCCCTTGGAGGACAGATGAGTTGAGTCAGCTGAAGAAAAATTGAAATTATATAAAGCGACAGGGTCATATGTCACATTGGAAGATTAGAAGAATCGCTGAGGGATTTGGGTTTGGCTAGTCTAAAGTTAAGAAGAATTAGGGAGTGAGATGATAGCAGTATTCCAGCAATTGAGGGGCTGCCACAAAGAAAAAGAGGTCAAATTATTCTCCAAAGCACGAGAGAGCAGGGGAAGAAACAATGGATGGAAACTAATCAAGGAGAGAAGAAACCTGGAATTAAGGAGAAACTTCCTCATAGTGAGGACAATTAGCCAGTGGAACAGTTTTCCTTTGGAAATCATGGGTGCTCCATCACTGGACGTTTTTAAGAAGATACTAGACTGCCACTTATCTGAAATAGTATGGGTTCTCCTGTTTGAGCAGGGGGCTGGACTAGAAGACCTCCAAAGTCCCTTCCAGTTCATTCATCCATTCATTAAGCCCTGCTTTGTTTAAACACTGTTTATTTACCAAATTACAACAGGTACAATGACCAATCTCCAAGGCGTGTCACACCTTTTCAGCACCCCTAATATTTGAAAGTTGAAAAATTTCACACAATATCCCCATGGTCACCAGATCAAAATTTGGATGCTTGGCAACTGACTCATGCTTATGACGGTTGCAGTGTCCCGGGTTCATGTGATCACTTTTTGCTACCTTCAGTGAGGAAGCCGGATTCACTTAATCCTGTTATTAACTTATTAACAACTGTACTGATTCACCTAACACCTGTGGCAATGTAGGAAGTTAAACCCCCACCACCACCAGTCCTAGAAAAACAAAACATCCTGGGAAATATTGAAAAGGCAGAATATTATATTTCCCTGGATCAGAAATGGAGAAGCGTGTTTTTAGGCAGGAAGCAAACTCACTCTTAATAGCCCCCACCTTTGTCAATGGGCCATTAAAAAAAGCCTGGGCCAGTCTATTCTACATAACAAAGATAGTCCCCCTCCGCTCCAGAGTGATGGGATTAAGGCATGATAGTATTAGCCCTTCAGCCATGTCACCACAGGGGACCTGGGGAGAAGCAATGCTCAACCAAACATGGGCTCACAGCCTGCATGGCCCCATGGGAGACTGACAACCAATCAAGAATACAAGATCAAGATCACCTAACACCTGTGGCAAACACCTTTGATCATCAAAGGCCAGAGAGGGCATAAAACCAGGGACTTTCAGGATCTCCCTTTTCTTCTTCACCCAACATCTGGAAGCATGTGACCCTCCCCCTTTTCTGTTCAGGACCTCAAGCCATGTGATCCTGTCCACCATTAAACCATCTTTCCATGCAGCCTCCATGTTCCCAGTATCTTTTCCCCCACTTGGAACTGAGCCCGGAAGGACATTTCTTCCAACAGCAACCAAGGTCGTAAAATGGGACAGGGCTCACTTAATAACTGTCTCCCTTAGCAACAGAAATCTTCCTTGTCAGGAGGTTGCAAAAGGTGGTCGCAAGACCTCAGAACACTGCAACTGTCATAAATATATGCCAGTTGCCAAGCATTCAAATTTTGAACTCGTGACTACGGGGGTGCTGCCATGGTCCTGTGGAAACAGGTATATTACTTTTTTCAGTGCCATTGTAACTTTGAACAGTCCCTAAATGAACTGTTGTAAATCGAAAACTACCTGTATTTTCTTCCAGGATTTTTTGTTT